GTCAGAATGGCTGTCAGAGCTTTCTTGCACAAGAGCATGCATGCGGTGTGGACCCTCTCTTGCGCAAAAGCACATGGCTTTTGTGATGTGCTTTGAGGTGTGGACATGCTCTTGCACAAGAAGTTTTTATGCAAAAACTCTTGTGCAAAAGGCTTCTTGCACAAGAAGCATGTAGTTTAGACGTGGCCACAATGTGCTAACATGACAACAATAATATTCATATACCTAAAACACTTCACTGCTACTCACTACCCTGCCTCTGCACTGATGTATATTTTCTACTGCATCTGGTTGGATCTCCTGACACTGACCTTGTTCAACATTTTCTTCATTTATCCTTGCAGCATTTGACGCATTTGCTATGTATCATAGGCCATCAAATTGAGAGAGGGTTAAAATGAAATCTAACTCTCTGCCTACTGTACTTTAAGCAAAAAGTAAATAGATACCATTAATGGAACTGAATTCTGAGAAGAACCCACTACAGTATATTAGTATCTTTGCTATTCGCCTGTGTGCGTACACTAGCTTTGTTTTCAAAGTCACTATGACATTTTTACAGCTGTCAGTCAATGAAATAAGTTTTAAATTAAATTAAATTGAGGTTATAACAGCTTAGAAATTTCACTTGTTTAAAAATAAAAAAATTAGAAAATGCCATTTGTGAGCAATCTGTGTATCTTGTCATTCATATGGTATTCAAAGATAACATTTCCTGGAATTGATGCATATGTACACATGCTGAATTTCAGCGCTTGTGCTCTGTTCATACAAGGCCAAAACAATTAGGCATTTTGCTTTTTGCATTAGCTTCATTATAATCTTAGTCACTAAAATATAGATCACAGAGCTTACCTTACACACATTTTAATGACTTTGATTGTAAAATACAAGGTTTCCAGAATTTAAAAAAACAAACCAAGCCTATTTTTGTACCTCTTGACTTTCTTGAATGTTATCAATACCAGCACATAGGAAACTTTTTAAATTCTATTTTTATGGTATTATTTTTCCAATCAGCCATTATCTTATCTGATACAAAAACCTAATGAACTATAAATGATAACAACATCATGATTTGCAATACTTCCTGACTACGATAAGAAGTTCTTATTATGGTGGGACACTACTTTCATTTGTTCCATGGGTTGAAGTTCTTATGATAGTAGTGGAAGTCTCATGGACAGAAAGAGGGCAGGGCATGCAGCAGAGATCTATAATATGGTTAAGTGATTTGGAGCATGGTTCCCAAATGAGAGAACTGTGATTTTAGATTTTTTTTTATACAAAATCATCATTCAGAAACCTACTGAGAGCAGATTTGTTGCATGACAAAGAATAGATTAGTGTCTGTGGGTGAAATCTCCCATCAACTTCAGTGGGACAGTTTCACCTTCTGTGTTTTTGTTTGTTTATTTGTTTTTTTACTTCAAGATGGGGTTAACCAGGGATCTTGATGATTTACTGCATTATTTTTTTAAAAAATTATTATTTCAAAGTCCATGGTTCTCACTCACCATTGCATGGAATTTTGTATGGTGATTTACCTCAGAGCACTGCCATATCAGGCTGGTACAATTTTATAGCCACTTTGCACTCATAGAAATGATTACTCAAGCTGCAAGCCCATCGGGAATCAGGCCCAATACCAATAAGGAAAAAGAAAGTAATTTTTAGATAGGTCAAAGTGTGGTAACTTATGGTATCAGGGTGGCCATACATCCCATTTTGGCCAGGAAAGTCCTGCTTTTAAACTTTCCTGGATATCCCAATGTTTCTTGCAAAATTGGGCATTTTGTCACATTAGCTTTTCCCAACTGATGAACTAGCAAGAGAAAAACAAACAAATGCCCAGTTTGCCAAAAGCTGGGGGAGCAGGGCTATTCCTAGGCATACGTGAAATAGGTGGATACATAAGGCACTTGAAAATTTTGGGCACCAATATTTTGGATGTCTCTACATAGCCACATGCTGTATGTACTGGGGCAGCTTTCAGCTGGCAGCAGGGCAGAGCAGGGCTGCCCTCCCTCCTGCTTCCATCCCCCCTCCCTCAGCCAGGCCGTCATCCAGCCGTGGAGAGGATTCCTGCTCAGCCTCTGTGGCTCTGCTCTGGCTCCAACCACTTGATGGCGTGATGACTTGGCGGAAAGCCTTGGGGTTTCTGGCTGCCCCACACCATGGATAGCTGTGCTCCCATCTCCTCCCTGTGCTCTTGGGACTCTGCCAGGCCTGGCGCAGTGCTGTTGGGAAGGTGCTGTGCATGCAGCTCCCCTACCCTGTGGGCCTTCCCTAGCCTTGCCAGTGTTTAAATATAGAGGCTGGGAAGGGAGGCACCCCAAACTATGTGAGGCAGGAGGAGGCACAGACACCCCCAACACATGGGTTCTTTCTGCTCCAGTTAAGACCCGTTGGCCTGGGCTTCAGCCCTAGAGGAAGTTCCCCAGTCCATCCCCCCTCACCAGCACACCTTTGAGACTCAGTACTTCTCCATTCCCGCCTTCCAGTGCTCTTGATCTAGGGAGGGAAATGGGTCGAGTCCAGTTCATTCTGGGGAGGGTTGTGGATCAGGTGCAGTTTAGAGGGTTGGCCTGCTCTTTTAAGAGCACAGTTTGTTTTGATGCTAGTCTCTGTGCCTCTCTGCCTAGGGGAAGGGGGTAGGACTAGCAAGACTAGTATGAATGAAGAGACTGAAATACAGTTGTTTCATATTTTTTATTTGCTTAGAATGTTTTAAACAGGTTTCCAGTTCTCCCTAATTAAATAGAAATATTTAATTCCAAGCCCTGGTAGTTTATACGGGAAATGTGAAAAGTGAAATACATGATGGTTCCATTTTATGAGGATAGCACAAGGCCAGTATTTGACCAGCTTTAGATTTTGTTTTGTCACCCCCCTCCACTCCCCTCTCTCTCACACTCACACTCACACTCACACTCACACAGTCTCCCTCATGAAATTCCCCTACCCCACAAACACACCCATGAGAACTCTCAGCATCCATGTCACTTTCCCCACTTAGTTGTGAGGCATCCAGAGTCACTGCTCTCATGCCCGCTCCTGACACAGCCCAGGCAAAGAAAATGATCTGGATATAGGGATCCCTGATTCTGCCCCTCACTGTCTCCCTCACAGCACCCCAGTTGTGTGCATGGCAAAGGAGCAGCAGTCCCAGGCACAGTGAGCAGCAATGCCAGCTGTTTTGTGCATCCACGTCAGTTTCCCCAGGTTGCTGCAGGAGGAAGTTGCAGGGGTTAGCAGTACAAGGGTGCAGGGATTAAGGGTGCAGGAGGAGGAGCAGGCCTATGTGTGCTGTCAGCTGCCTATGTCCTCCCTGCATCCTTTCCCTCCTGGCCTGAGCCATGTTTCAGTAGCATGGGCCCTGCTAGCAGCAGCTAGGGGCAGTGGGTAGAGGAACTGATCTGGACCAGGAGGGAGGGGACCATGGCCATGAGTAATGATGGGTTCGCTCCACTCAGCTGGCTGTGGAGAGTGGCTCCGTCCCTGTGAGGTGGGCAAGTGAGTGAGTTGGCATGGAGTAACCCAGCTCCTGAGCAGGTTTTGTCCAGTGTCTGTGCCCCCTTAACACAATGGGCTCAGGGGAGCACCATTTTATAACCCTGCATAGGGTCCCATAAATCCTAAGGATGGCCCTGCTGGGACAAAGGTGTGAAGGAGCATTGGGAGGGAGCAGTGACATGAGGTGCTTGGCAGCAGGACTTAGGGACAACCCCAAGTGGCATGGATCTCTGAGGAGTCAGATCTCTCCTTGGGCAGTATGAAGGTTGGGAGGGAAGGGTCAGCCTCTGCCGCGGGCAGTAGGGTCAGGTGCTCAGCCCTAGCCATGGACATGGAGCCAGATGACAGGGAGACAAGTGGGCATCTGCTCCAAGGCCCAGTGGTTTATTAAGGCCTGAGCTCCTGGCCATTGCCACCACTGCAGCAGCGGTGGATGGAGTGCTGAACCCTTTAAATCACTGCTGGAGCCCTGGGCAGCATGCTCTGGGTGGTGCTGATGGGCCGGTTGGGGGAGGCTAGTCTCCAGTCCCATGTCTTCCACCTGAGGCCTTGCCCCTACCAGGAGCATGGAGCCTTCTCATCTTGCTCAAGGGCCTGGAAATTCTGTCAGCCTCCCTGGCCATGTGGGCTGAGGGGTGGGGGTGGAAAGGTTGGTATGGCAGTTCGTGCTTAGGTGAGTTCCAGCTATCCCACTTAAACTTTAGGAAATAGTGTTAGCCTTTACCGTATCCACTTAAAGAGATACCCAGATGTGAGGAATCAGCAATACACCCAGCAAGTCTTAGGGCTCATCTAACCCCACAGTTTCAGAACAGATCTAAATAAATTGGTTGAGAAACTGATTCAATTAAATCCCTCTAGTCTGGAAATAGTGTACTTTTAATCTGAAGAAGCCTTCTGATTTTTCTTAAAATGGTATTTTACTAGCTAAACCAAAATTGCCCTAGAAATTGTTGATGAGGGGGGAATTCTATCATCTGTCTTATGCAAGAGGTCAGACATAATCACAGTGATCCTTTCTGGTATGGGAAATTCTGAATCCCTGAAATATGGCTCTCTAA